ATAACATGGCTTGTCTGATTGGTATAGGAAAGGCATAATAGTGTAAGCTAATTTAAAACCTATTTCTCTAGTATTTTTACTACTTTTGAATCTAGTATTTTTTTTTTTTTAAAGCTTATACAGAATCCACACTGGCCAAGCAAACTGTTTTAAACTTGTTTCTCTGACAGGTTTTCATTACCAGTATAGGTGACACTTTAAACACAGTCTGAAGGGCAACAGTGAGAAATGCTGAAATGATTAATGATTTACAACATACAGAACTTATAGCAATGATTGTTGATCTAGTGCGTGTCTTCTTGGGCCTTTTAACTACAGGGCAAATTTCACTGTATCAAATGAACAAGCTCCATACACCTGTCCTGCAAGCAAAAGGCTAATACTTTATAAACATTAATTCATCAAGATTAAGTTATTTTGACATAACTAGGGTTCCTAGGCACTACAGTAATACAAATAATAAATAATATAATGACATTCTATGTGAATGCAAAGCATAATCATCAAGCCCAAAGCATCTCACTTAAAACTTCTTAAAAAGAAAAGAGTGCAAATGGAAGTGGAGTGGACGTTAGCTAGAGTACTTGCTATACTGTATTTGAAGTTTTAACATTTAAAATTTTTAATTATTTTGTTTTTTGCAGATTACATCAAAATCCATTCATCTCTCTTGTTCTCTTCTTTTCCACCACTAAGGGTGGATGAGTGGTAGCTCATAACTGAGAATCATGATACACTGAAAATGTAAAAGCAAACACTATTTTTAAATGCAGAAACTGAACATTTCTTTGAGCTATTAGGCTACCTAAACAGTAGTGAAACATACTATATGCACTGTGACTGCTCGTAGCCCACTTGGTCTGCACTGCTGTTATTAATTCATGACTTTGTTTCTATACACAGAAAAATTACCCTCGATTCTTTTAATAAAAAATGTTTAATGCAGACCTCTTGGATTTGAAGGGGCATTAAACTGTATCCTTAAATGTTTATTGTACTACAATTAAAATAAATACTGGACAGGTAAGCCAGAGCAGGCAAGGAAGAATGGTCACTTAAAAATAAAAAAAGGCATGTTTGTTTTATTTAATTCCTGATTTTTCTTTTCGTACAATGTCTTTTTCAGATAAGAATACAAATGTAACAAAAGGTCCGTTTAGGTGATTGACAATAAAATAAGCAGTGGTGCAGACTATAAGAATAAAAAACTGAACACAGGAAAGTATGTTTATTTAAAATATTTACTTTTAAGTGTAGGTATTAATTTTCCAACCTTACCATGGGGAATGTTAGCTTGAATGGGGTAAAGGGGCAAAAGAGGAAGAGGAGAGGGGTTCCGTTTTTTTTGTTTACTGGATTAAAATTATCTAATGTTAAAAGCAGTATCTTCTTCTAGAGCCAAAAAGAAACAATGCAACTCAAAATAGGTAACAGGGTTCTAAATGCTAGCTCGGTTGCTACACTTTTATACTTTCTGGGTGAGACTTTAAAAAGCATTCCAATTTAGCCTAACTTCAGTTCCCACTGAAGTTAATGGGAATTATACCATTATTTCTAGGGGAGGAGAATTGGGATGATTTTAAGCATCTTTGAAAGTCACACCTTTCACTTAAGTATAGAAGTTGGTAGATGGAAAGTCTCCCAAATTAAACTACTTAATAAATAATGAAAAATAAAACAAATTAAAATTTTTAGTTTAATAAAACAAAAAAAAGTCACAGCTGCACTGACCTGGAGGGGCTGGAACAGCTTCTCTCAGATTCCTAGAACACAAGTGGAAAGCTGAAACAAAATGAAATATATTTACTGCTTCACATTTACAGGAAAATCCACCCTCCACAAAGAAGTGGGTAAATGCCTCATTTTAATAGACCTATTGTATACCACCACCATAGGATCTGAAACAAAAGTGAAAAGGAAGGGTTCAGGTGTTTAAAACACAAATGAGATTTTCCCTACTATAAGTCAACCTTCTGAGACAACGTATTTGAAAGTCTGGACCAATGGGTTTTCATTTGATGTTCAAACTTACTAGGCATAGAAATTATTATTGGCTTCCAAGAATTGTTCTACCACCCAGCTATACTCTTTCCAAGCCAGCTCCCGTGCATTCCTTAGCACAGGATGTGCTCCAGTGTACTGCCATGAGGCTTTCGTATAGGGTGGAGGGATGCTTAAATGACAATTTCTGTGGTGTGTCAGAGTCCCTGCACAAGTGGATCTTCTGAGCAATGTTCTGTCCCTGCAAAGGAGAGTGGGGGCTTAGTCACTGAAGCCTGTAGGACTGCAAATGAGCAGGGTGGGCTCCATTTTGAAGCACCACTTGTCATAAAAAGACAGTGCTAAAGGGAGTGAGGCCCTCAGAATGTAGTTCAGGAGAATTTGCAGTACACACTGTCTCATTTGAGATGGGAGTGGAACCTAAGGAGCCTAAGCTCCTAACACTGACTAACGAGACAGGAGCTGTGCAGAGGGTGGAGGACTCACTACCTAAAGGCAAGGAGAGCCAGAGCCTCCTATTTTGCTGCTGCCACTATTTGCCTTGCTGTAAGAGGCCATTCCGTTTGCCCTGGGAAGAAGATTTAAAGTTGGGCTTGCTCCAGTGGATCTTGAGGAAGAGCAAGAGGGGATGTAACAAGTGCAGCATCATGAAGAGATCTAAGCACAAACAGCCACAGCATTTTCTGCCCGTCTGAATGGCTAACTGCGCCATGAGGTTCCAAGAAGAAAGCAGCGGAGAGACCATGCAGAAGGAGCAGCTGGACAGAAAGAAAAAAAAAAGTTTGAAGCTGGTGATTGGTCACATTTGCCTACCAAATCGAAAAAGCAGAAGGAAACCCATTTGTCCAGATTGTCAAATGACCTGATGCAGAAAGATCCAGTACACAGCCCAACAGAATCAGCAGACCTAATTATGGAATAGGGTGTGTGCAGAGGAACAAGGAGAGTATGACTTTGGTGAGACAGAGACAGAGCTGGAATAAAGGCGAAATTTCTGTGTGAAAGGCAAGTGGAAGGGTAAACACTGTAGGCAATATGCAAGGGATAATTTTTTATTTGTTGTGGTTTTTTGATAGGATTATGAAAAAGTCAAATTACTAATACTGATACAAATATAGGGAAGGATCAAATAAGCAAGCAAATGCAAGTTTGGGTGACAGGATATAAAAATAAGTTTAAATACATTCATATTCTCTTCTAAAGTGCATTTTATGTCCTTAAAAACATTACCGTTCTAAACATTTCTGTTTCTACTGTTACTGAAGCTGCTATAACATCTTATGATAGACTACATAATTAGCTGAATCTGGAAACAAAGGTTACTTACAGTTTGGCAAAAATAAAATTTTAGTTCTCTCAGACATTCCCAGAATAATATTCTTTTTTAAGTTAATTATGATTTATCTTCTGAATTCACCTGTCTGGGTTCTTAAATCTCAAAATTTCTCACGGAAATTCAATTAATCAAAAATGAAAACTCTTATCTTCTGTCACTACAATAATGCTAGGTCATTTTTACTGTTTCAACTTTATTAATAAAGCCAGAAAACTGGTTCACTTCTACATTGTTTCACACTATCATATAGCTATTAATTTGATACAAATAATCATTTTTGAGTTTTTGTCATGAAGAACTGTGTCACTGGTAAGATTTCTGTTATACAAAACAGTAGACTTAGAAGTGTCTTTACCCAAATAATAGAATTGACCACTTTGACCACTCTTTTGTGAAACTTGTCTGCATTTACCTACAGACAGAGGTGTTCTACACTTCTTGGACTCAGTCAAAGCCAAAACTTCCTAACTGTAAGAACAATGGGACAATGGAACAGACTGCATAGGGAGGTCATGAAAGCTCCTTCACTGGAGGTTTTCAAAAGGAGGCTGGATAGCCATCTGTCTTGGGTGGTTTAGACATGCCAAATCTTGCATCTTGGCAGGGGGTTAAACTAGATGACCCTTCCAGTCCCTTCTACCCTATGGTTCTTTGATTCTACATCTAAAATTTATGTTGACCAAGCTACATTGCAGAAAGATGTGATTAAGCCTTGGCATAAACACCACTATTCTTCCATCCACCTAGCTACTGTCTGTTGATGGGGTGGATTTACTACAGCAATGGAAAAACCCCTTCTGTCACTGTAGCAAGTGTCTATGGGCTGGTCTGCAATGGAAAGCTACATCAGCTTAGCTACGTCTCTCAGAGGTGTGAAAAATCCACATCCCTGAGAGTTGCATGTAAGCAGTGCTAGGTCGATGGAAGAATTCTTCAATCAACTTAGTTACCACCCTTAGTTACCCGCCCAGTGATGCGAGAATCCCTCCAGATGCTGCAATAAGTGCTACAGCAATGCAGCTGTGCCACTGTAGAATTTTAAATGTAGACTTAACCTACACTACAGTGGCATAGCTGCAGCTGTGCCCTAAGTCACTGAGTATGAATCTTGTCCCTACTCAAGTCAAGGGCAAAACTCTCATTGACACTGATAGGGCCAGCATTTCATAGGTATTTCTTGTAACACCAGTAAAGCTATTTCAGATAGAAGTGTGATTGGTAGGTGATCAGTGTCCCATTAACACCAGGAGAATCTACATTTGGTGTTATAAAAAGTTGTTTTTATTTATTATATGTACTGCAGTAACATCCTACAACTCCAAGAAGGAGCAGGGACCCTTTGTGCTAGGTGGACATATGTGTAGGAAAGCAGTACCTGCTCATAACAGCATACAGTCTAATTTAAGACAAGATGTAACAAGTGAGAGTAACAAGCAACAAAGGATGGTTGAAGAGCGGACAGGGCTAACAGTAATAAGATCATGCAGTTAAATAAGCTAGCGAATGCATGCCACTTGATGACTTCAGTAAGTATTACTATATAATACTGAACCATACTATGCTTGTTACTGTGAACGTCTTCATTGGGTTCTTTTTAAGTGGGAATTTGATAAACATTTTTTAAAACTGGAGGCACGCCAGGTTGAGATCAGATAAAATTTCAGAAAAGCAACGTGTGTCAGCTAAGAGTTAAAGATTGGCACATAGCTTTTATTTTTGGTCTTAAATATCTACAGACAAGAAGCTTAAACAAAGAAAAAAATACCAAAGAAACTAGAATGGATAAAAATGGAAGAAGACCATGACATAATAAGTACATCGGAAACACGACTGAATGTCAAAAGTTAAGGGAATACAGTATTGTCTGGGTATATCCTATACAAAACCAAACAGATTAGGTTATACAGGTGTGGGAGCAGCAGTGAACCCAAAAGATTTAATGCAATCAAATAAGACAAAATTTCTGAGTAGAAAGAAGGATATATGGCAGAATCTGTATGGCTACAAAAATTCCTAGTAAGAAGAATACAGATATACCAACAAAATTAGGCTTACTAACATCCAAATCAGGATTAAGATATTTAATATTTTGATCTTCTTTGCACATTCATGTACAACTTTAACTACCCAAATATAAAATGATAATAAACAAGTTGCCCACCCATCCCTCCAAAAAATGCATTTATATTATTATTCATTTAAATTTCTGTCAATAACCTTTAATGTAACAAGGAACCCCAGTAAAGTTTAGTGTATTTTTTTTTTAAACTTCACACATTGCAATGAGGCCCTTTGAATCTGTAATATGCTATATAAATGCTAAATGTTATTTTCACAATGGTGTTTTAGTAGATGTTATAACTACCAGATCAGAGCAGTGTTCTACCTAATCCAACATCCTCACTCTAGCCCAGTTCTGCAAACATTTGTTTTAAACCAATGGGGCTATTACTAGTTGTAAAGTTAAACATATGCAAAAGTGTTTGCCATATTGGGGCCTCTGATAATAGCCACTACCAATACTTCAGAGAAAGGTTCAAGAAATCCTGCATTTGACAGTTATGGAATAACCTGCCCATAGGAGATTTTTTTTCCTCAGCCCATCTGCTAGTGGCTGTCTTATACTCTAAGGCAGTAGTTTTCACCATTTTTTTTCATTTGCAGACCCCTAAAAACTTTCAAATGGAGGTGCAGATCCCTTTGGAAATTTTAGACATAGTCTGCACCCCCCCAGGGGACCACAGGCTTGAAAACCACTGCTCTAAAGCATGATAATTTATATCTAATGTAAGTGAAGATATTCTCAGTAGCCACATAAGAGGCTATTTTTGTTTGTTTTAGTCCTACTAAACTCCTGCACTCAAAGACAGCTTGGGGCAATAGAGGGAATGAAATCCAAATTCACTGACTTGGATATAAGGGAGATTTTAACAAAGATTTTGCTAAAGGGGGTGGAGGGTGGAAGGGAGAAAACAAAATGCCCAGATTTCTTTTATTTGGAGAAGCGGACAGCCTAGAATTTACTAGTTAAGGGGGGGACACCCCAAAACCCATTAATTGTGGGGTTAAAGAAAGAGATCAACATGTATTTATTTTTGGAAAGAACAAACAATTTAGTTGGGGGATGGATGGAGGGGGGAGAAGAAAAGGCAACCAGAATACATGTGAGATAGGAGTATCCCAACTGATTTTATTTGCAAGACCAGAATTATTTTATAAGTGGGGGAAAATCAAGAGGTTGCAATGTAAATTAAATAGGTGGCGGGAGGTGGCAGCACATGAAGTCCCTACCTCCAATTAGCAAACTTAATCCTGAGGCAAGAGAGGATCGCATCAGGGAAGATTTTCAAGCCCTAGAATATAACCATCATGCTTTGAATGTCTGGACACCAGTGCTGCCTCACATAAAACGTCTTCTTGGTGGGCCACAAGTAGGTCAGAGGTTTTAGCTATTGAGAGGACCCTAGAGGAAAAACACACAATTGGCAACAGAGTGTCCAGCTCCCACTCACCACAGACACAATGGTGATGGGCCCAAGCAGACCACCACAACCCAGGCCAGGCCGGAAACAGACACAGGCCACGCAGCCCCCTCTAGGCAGGACAGCTCTGCCCTCCCCTCTTGGCAGCTGCTGAGGGGCACCTGGGGTCTTCTGTCACCCTCCGCCCTACCAAGGGCAGACACAGGCGAAGAGAGGCTGTGGCAGCAGCAGGGGGAGGGGCAGGCCTCGCTGCACCCCTCAGCCCCCCCGCCCCCAGGGACGGGGTGAGAACCTGCTGTACCTGTCAGGGCAACCCGCTTCCGGGAAAGGAGCCTCGCCCTGCTCCGGAGCCTCTCCCTGGGGCAGGCGCGGGGACTACCCTACCTCGGGGGCGGGTAACGGTCTCCTCCGCGCTGGCTCCGGCCCGAACCCCGCGGCTCTACGGGCAGCGGGGGCCACAGGCCGGGGTGGGGGCGGGGGGTCTCTGTGGAGAGCGGCGACGCCATGTTAATGCCTCCCGGGCACCCCCACCTAGCCCAGGCCGCGCCGCCCCCTTCACCCGCCCGCTACGATTGCGGCGCCGCCGCGCGCCAACCCCACTACAACGCCACGGAGGCGCTGCCGGGCTCCCCTCGCCGCGCTCTGTTTACAAACTCACCCCGGGCAGACGGGTCGAACCGCACATTAAAGGCCAGGTCCCCAACAGGCTTCCGTCCCTTCTCGCGATAACTCACTGACATTCCCCCCAAGGCCGAGGCAAAGGGGTCACGTGATCCACGGGGGTGCTGCTGGTGGAGGCACAGAGCAGGGCGCTGATTGGCTTGGAAGGTGGGGCCCTGGCGTGTTTGTGTGGCCGGAAGTGGTAAGTAACAAGTTACCGGCAATGGAAGGGGAAGGACGCTGGTAGGTGGTGTAAGCTAAGCAGAGCCCGCGAAGTCAAGCGGGTGGAAAGGGGACCTTCAGCGCTGTCACTAGTTCAGTTAACGATTGTCGAATGGTTAGTACTGAAAATAATGGGGGGAATGGTTGAAGAAAGTGCACTTTAGATGAAATTTAAAACTGACATCCTGACCCTTTTGTGGTAATTTAATTTACATTGTCTTTGGGGCAGGGACCATCATTTTGTTCTGTATGCAATGCCTAGCAGCACAATGGGGTCCAGGTCCATGACAGACTCTATGGTAATACAAATTAATGATAATTAAAGATCCAATTATACATCTGCAAAAGTAGCTTGAGTGTCACAACCAAACTGCATCCTCAGTAATTCTACTTTGTCTTGCTAAATTTCCCCTTAATTTTCAATTAAATGTAGCATTCTTCACTTACTCTCCAGAACCATGTTGCTGGGCTGTACACAGTGGCTGGTGAAGTGACAGCTTTGTAAACTCAAAAACTTTGTCTCTCTCACCAACAGAAGTTGGTCCGGTAAAAAATATTACCTCACTGACTTTGTCTCTCTCTAATATCCTGGGCCTAACACAACACTGCAAACAACCTTTGTACTTTGTAAAGTTCTTTGAGATCATGTGGGATAAAGGTTAGAATATATATGTAGGAGCTTTATAAAAATGTAAAATAATTCTTGATTGCACATGGGGCTTGAAAGGCTTAAGAGTAGGGGACAATGGGGATTTTATACTTTCCAACTAATAGGTGCTGGGGGTGCTGCCACACCCACTGGCTGGAATTGGTTTCTATCATATACAGGGTTTACAGTTTGGTTCAATGGCTCTCAGAACCTTCACTATACAAATTATTCCAGCACGCCTGTTCCAACTATACCACTCTCACCTTTTCTCACATAGCACCAATTTCTGAGGTGCTACATTTTAAAATGTACCAGCTACTGGCTGCTAGCACCACATGGCTTGCAGCACTGGTGAGGGTTATCATATGTCCGTTTTTTCCCCGGACATGTCCGGCTTTTCGGCAATCAAACCCCTGTCCGGGGGGAATTGCCAAAAAGCCGAACATGTCCGGGAAAATGCCGGCTGGGAACTTCCCCTCCCACGGCTGCTCTGCTCCTCCCCTGACTCTTCGGCTCTGTTTAAGAGCCGAGCTGCCCGAGCACTATGGGCTTCAGGCAGACCCCTTGC